TGTCAGCACCTCAGAGTTTATGGAAAACATTCAGGCATCATGGTTTTAAGAACTGAGATATAATACAACACTGTAATATATTTCTCTCTATAATATATAAAAGTGCACATGCATGCGTACCTAAAAAATAGAAAAATGTTACCATTTTTACAGCTAAAAACATAGTTCCTAAATTGTAAATGTAACCAAAGGGCTATATCCCAGAATATCTCATACTGATTTAATAGACAATTGAGAAGATTTTTAACATCTTGCTGTATTGTGAATCACAGAAAACCTTACATTATTGCTTTAAAAAAAAAAATCAGAAAATTTCCTTTAGAAATAATTTAGTAGGATTTTAGAAGAATTGGCTAAAAAAAAGTGCATAAGAAAATAATACAAATCTTATCTCTATGTTGAGACTTCTTTGTTTAGTAGACCTAGTAAATTGAAGCAAAAAAAAAAAAAAAATAAAAAAGCAACTGAACTATAAGATTTGTGGATTGCAATTTCATTTTGGCAGGTATAGTTGCTTCCTTGCACTGCTTTTACTACCTTGCATTTCTTAATTTATATTTCCCAGTCTAATCTGTGACCAACGCTTTCCAGTTCACACCTGTATCACAAACAATATCACAAACTGTATCACAAACTGCAATAAAGAAAGTAATAGGGCTACATTCTAGACATCAGGAAAAACTTCTTCACTGAAAGGGTTGTCAGGCTGTGGAATGGGCTGCCCAGGGAGGTGGTAGAGTCCCCATCCCTGGAGGTATTTAAAAGAAGGATAGATGAGGTGCTTAGGGACATGGTTTAGAGGTGGGATGGCAGGGTTAGGTTAAAGGTTGGACTCGATGATCTCAAAGGTCTTTTCCAATCAAAGTGATTCTATGAGTCTGTGATTCTATGATTCTACCAAATTTGCATTTTTCTCTATTTTTTAGTAATTGCATTAAAAATTTGTTGTGAGGAGAATAATAATAAAGTCAACTGGTCTGGGACACAAAGAATTAATATAATTCATCACCGTGCATGAATACTTTTTCTGTACTGATAAACCAAACCTCCCTACTTGAACAAAACAGATCAGCTGGCTTTCTGCCAAGAATTTTCTGAAGTGATTTGGAGGGGAAAGAATCTGCTCTCCACCCTAAATCATTCTGTGCCAGGGAAGATATGCAGCTGCTATTGCCACAGTCTGTGGATACTGTTGGCTCAGAAAGAAATGAGCAGGAATTGCAGCTTACATGATTGTGTTGTCAGCAGAACTGGTCTGTAGACTGTGGGAAGGACAGCATCACTGCTGATTGATGCTTTTTTCAAAACAACTTTCTAGATACTTGCTTAAGTAAGGACAGGATGTACTAGGCGTCGAATATATTCAATTTAAGAATAAGCAAGAGAAGAAACAGACTAAGAAAGGAATTAGGACTTTAAAATTGTAAGTCCTCAAACAACTAGATTTTTCTATAAATAATATAATTTACATCACTCTCTTGTTAGTAAATTAGCCTTCATGCTGATGTGTGTATATATATACACAAATATATAAAAAAAAATATGGTCATATATCATCCCTAACAAGATCTTATAGTGGAAGTCCCGATCACAGAGTCATTACTACGCACATCATTAACTTCTTAATGATAATGTCAATTTGTAGGATAGGGGAACATGAGGCAATGAGCTACTTTTCTTCTTCTTCCTTACACCTCTCAAACAACAGGAACTTGTGTTCACACTCTTAAATGCCTAAGCCTATCCAGACAAATTTTTCAATATGATTATGCTGATTGTGCCCCTTTCCTTTGTGTCTTCAAGGAGAGGTGAAGAGCAAGACGAGGAACTTGCTTCTGGTGAGCTCTCCCTTTCCCATCATTTGCTGTAGCTCAGGCTTGAAGTGCTTGCCATCTGCTCACAAACAGCTGAGCAGCACTGAACTGTGGCTGGACCTGGCTGCAATGTTGGAAGCACTTCCCATGCCCAATCCCTCCTTCCTGCACAAATGACAATTTGTGTCCATGTTAGGAACTGAAGATTTATAGGATTAATCATATCAGAGTGTGGTCCCAAGACCAGCTCTGGCCTCACAGTCAGTTGGCAATAGTAGACTCTCTTATTCTGGTTCTACCAATTCCAGCCTGACTTTCAGGTAACACAAAAGACAATCCAATACCGTACTTGGCTTGTTCTGCACATTTATGGATATTAAAGCTAATATTGTGCAACTGAATTTTCTTTCATACATGGCAGTACAATGCTTTCTGGTTTTACTAAGTATGCCTAAATTACAGAGTATATTTAACTCTTCAACAACTCTTCTTAAGGCCAAACCAGCAGATCCAAAGTATGTGAATGGAGTGATACCTGGCTGTCATTTGGATTTGCATTAGAATTATAAAGCTGTTAGCATGATGATTACTATAATGGTTTAAACAAGAAATAAGACAAAGTCCAATGATGTTCTGGACAATTGGATTGCTTTACCAAAGAGTGTGGGGAAATGATGTAATATAAAAGACAGAAAAAACATGTGATAAGTGGCAATAACATCTACCAGGCAGTTAAAACAATTCTCACAACACAAAACCTCATCTCAAACACACAGGAAATCATTCAATATATTGGATATCTCCCAAATGACAAGGAGAAAATAAGAAATGGGATTCAAGAAACAGCAAGACAAACCTCTCAAAGAACCCAGGTAAAAGTTTTCATATTGATGACACACAGTGAGAAATATTTGACTATTTGGAATCCATATTTATTGGGACTTTCAATTAAAAAAGATTCCAACCCACATAACTCAGCTGGCAGTGTTAATGCAAATATTCCAGATGCGGAACACAGTCACTGACAATCCCATCTTAGTGTGCGAGCCAGAAAAATGAACGGCCTATTTGCTATTAGTTTGGAGCTTCTCCAGGAGTAAAAAGAAGAAAAACTAATTGCTCCAAAAGCATGCAACAGATAACTGCAACAAATATAAGTCACAAGCCTACTGAGAGGTGCCATTTTAATAGCATAACTCATCTGTTAAAATGAAACTTTAAAGTTCTGAGCCTCTTGGAAGCTCTATAGGCGTAAAGCACTAACCTTAAAAATGATTAAAAAGTACAGTCTCGTAAGGAGGTGATTATCGCAGAATTTCTGTTTGAACTTTTTTTTTACTCTGTCTTTGCAATTGTTGCCTGCCATCAAATGACATCCCCAGGGGTGGCTCTCACCCTTAGGCATGGTGGAATCTGTTGTCACCAGCATTTAAAAAAGCTTGCTGAAATCTTTTTTTGCTGTCTTAATACTGACAGGTAGCAGTGGCATAACGCAGTGAAGTTTAAGAGGAAAATATCGTATAAAACAGGATAGGTTATTTATTATCAAGAAAATACTAACAAGGTGAACCTTATTATTATATTTTTGAAATAGAATAAAATGGTCTTTTCCACACAAAGGACCTTAAAACTTTGTTGTACGTGCCCCTTTCCACACTCAGCCCAAGTTGCTACACGTTCATCTCTATCAGCTTTGGGACTGCCAGCAAAACCCTCACTGAGTTCTGTTGCACAGGCACAGGGATACAGGGAGCTCAGCAGTGCTTTCCAGCATTACTTAAACAAAAATACAATCTATGAAAGTTCATTATGTGTTCTAACTGGCTACTTACAACATGTAACAGCAACTCAGACTGAGCTTGAGAAGGAGCAGGTAGAAGTTGCAAGGTCCTTGATAAGATAATGGCCATATTTTCTTCTTCTCCAATCTAGAAAAACTAAATATCCTTATCTCATTAGTATTATATGGAAAATGTACATACTGTTTTTCTTTTGTGCTGTATTGTTCTCTCAAACTTCTCTTTTGTTATATGCACATGCATGTACACGTGCGTGCATTGACTACAAAATTTTCTATTGAGTCAAACACTGGCTAGAAA